ACAGACAACCACCCCACAACCAGCCCCACAACCAGCCCCACAACCAGCCCCACAACCAGCCCACACTTTTAGTTGGTGCCCGTGAGCTGGGAAGCTCACCTGTAAACCAGAAGGTTGATAGAAGCCCCAAGCATCGGCCCTGCGAGGGCTACAGGCCTGGGGCTGCCCCGCTCAGAACACCTTCATCCCACGGCACCCCATGGTAGGGCTGACCCCACAGCTCAGCTCTCAGCGGTGGGTGGCATCGCTCTGGGCCCTCATCCACAGCCCCTCTCGTGGTGATCGGTGCCCAGCCACTCCGTGCCAAGCTCCAAGGGGACACGAGGCAACGCTGCCCCTCACTCCCCTCCCCCAAGTCCCTCCTATGACCCCAGCACGACTGCTGGACACGCAGGCCTCGAGAACCCTTCTTTTGGCAAAGCCCAGTTGACATCTCCCCTCAGGAAATAGGGAAAAACATCAGACTGGGCAGTGCCTGTCCTGCAGGCAACGTCCCACAACCCCAGAAACACAAAAAAAAGCCCTGGGAAACCCCACCAAGCAGCACGGAGCTGCCAGGTCCCGCTCTGAAACGCCTCTCTGCGAGGGGACCACGCATCACCTCCTTCCCAGCCCTGTTAAGGAAGGGCTGCAGCAGGCACTGAACTTGACCGAGGGTCTGACGGACAGCAGATCCACGCTCTGCCTCTGGCAGGCACCAACTTACCCATCGGTGATCCAAAATGAGGCCCTCTGGGTGGCAAACCCATGGGCGGGGGGCCGGGGTGCGGCATGCCGGGTGGGGGCCGAGGGGGGGGTTGGCCTCCAGAGCCTGGTGGTCCTGGGTGATGCTGGCCCATCCCGGGCGGGCCGTGGTGCACCTGCATGGGAGGCATCCCTGTGGGGACAAAGGGAGCTCAGGGCGCCGCTGCCGCAGCTCCAAGCGCCCGCTGCAGCCCACCAGGCCGCGCCGGTTGAAACGGCGGGTATGAAAAAGGGGCCTGACGGCAGCTTTCTGCTCCCAGCCAGGAGATTTAAGGGGGGAAGGCAAGCAGCCCTTCTCTGAAGCACAGAGAAAGGACGGAAGTGAACAGGAGCTGGCTGCAGCGCGTCGGAACTCGGCCAACTCCAGGAGAAATGCTATTCTCTGTGACGCCAGGTGATTTTTCCACACTGTGTTTTTAGATCAGATTTCTTTCTCGTAGAAACAAATAGATCATGATTTAGCAGACGAATCTTTCAGGTTAAAGTAAGGCTTTCTAGGGGACTGAACTCGATGATTCTTACCCCTCTGATTCTGTGATAGGCAGAAGCAAGAAAAACCAGCAAGTGTGGCACAGCTTTGCACAGGGGCTCAGGGAGAAGCCACCACCTGGGAGATTTCCATCAAGAACCCAAGCATCCGGACTTTGAAGCTCGCTCTGCTCTGAGCAGGAACAAAGCCTGCATTTCCCCCCCCCCACCCCCCCCCACAACAACTCTATTATTTTAAACTCGTAAGGAAACAAAACCAAATCACCGATTGCTTTCTCCTTCCCAAAAAGAAAGAAACAGGAGCCAGGTGCAGCTCCGTGGAGCAGGCAGCGTGGAAGCATCACTCAGGCTTCCCCGTGCAGAGCATAATTGGCTGCTGCACAGCCTGAAGAGCCGGGCTGCGACAGGGACAGCAGCAGCCATCTGCTCAGCACAGGCCAGGGCTGGGATCACACAAAGCCCCCTAATCAACCTTGGGGCAGGGGTTATTATAGAGCAGGGGTTATTATAGAGCAGGGGTTATTATAGAGCAGGCAAGATGAGAAACAATGAAATCAGAACTGGTTTGGTTTTTTTCTTCTTTAAAGCCAATGCAAAACGGATTGAATTCTTGCCTTGAAAGCCACAGGGTCTAGAGGGATACGCTGCTCAGTCCCCACTGCCACAGGGGCTCAAAAGGGAAAGGAATCAAAGAAACATTTGGTTCTCGTGCCTTGAATTAGCTGCCACCCAGCTGCAGGCTGCGCAGAGCAGGTTCACACTTCCTTCACTTCACACCAGAGCCAAATGAGGGCGGCTTGGAGTCTCATCGACGCCCTTCCAGCCAGGACAGCACCCAAAAAGCCTGCAGTGCAACGGCCTCTGCCCCCCTGTGCCCAACACAGGGCCAACGCGTGTCCTGACCCAAACTGGATGCCTCCCACGAGGGAATTATTTCCTGGATCACCAAAACGCTCTTCAGAAATCCCGCTCCATTTCTGGCACATTTTAGAACGCGCAGAAGAGAAACCCACAAGCAGCCCTGCTGACGTGACGCATTTGCTCCTACGCAGATCCTCCCTGTTTTTCCTGGGGAGGAGAGCAGCCACCAGGCTGCCTTGTGCTGCAGAGAGCAAGATCTTGTGCAAAAATACAGCCAGCACACAAACAAACGCAGCCCAGGGCGCTCAGACTGCCGCTCCTATTCAGCACTGAGCAAAACCAGTGTCTCAGCAGCTAACTGAGGCACCCTCTGCCCTGTCTGCCCGCGCTGTGCTCAGTGCCTCCCAGACACCGGCAGTAATTCCATCCCCGTTTTACAGAAGGGAAACCTCACGGAAGAAACCACAAGAGGGGGTGATTTATCCAAGGCCGGAAAAGGTTCTGCATCTCCCGAGCTCGGTACCTGGCTGCCACGTACCTGGGTGGTGCATGCCTCCTGGTGGGAAGGCGTGCGGGTGAGGCGGGTGCCCTCCGGTGGGTGCAGCCCCAGTCGGGGGGCCGGGGGCACCGGCTCCAGGTGGCATCGGGGGGGGCGGCATGGCAGGAGGCATGCCAGGAGGCATTGCTCCAGGAGGCGGCACCGGCGGGGGAAATGATCCTGGGGGTGGGAGGCCTGGAAGGAGGGAAAGAGAGCAGCAGTGAAGATCTGGTCGAGCGCGGGAGGATGAAAAACAAGCACAAAGAGTCCCAGGTAATCGGGAAGGAAGCGAAAGCACGATAAGGCACAGCAAACAGAGAAACCAGCAGACTGAAGCACTAGGATCCATCCGCTCCATAGTGGGAGAGCACAGGCTGAGCTGCTGCAGCATGAGCAGAATTCCCAAGGATCACAGCCTTGCGATCCTGCAGGGCTCTGTGTTGTCACCCAGAGCACCCACACTGCGCAGCTCCACGCAGAACAAAGCCTTTCAGCTCTGCCCCAGACACTGCAGTAACAGCAAATGGGTGATGAGACTCGGGAGTCCTATCAGCACCCAGGGCATCCTGCTGCAAGGCGAAAGCAGGCTGCTTCCACAGACCCCAAGGCAGAGACAAACACACACACACACAGAGCACCAAAACCACCTCTTTTCAACCCAGTGTGCCTCTACCCACCTGGAGGGGTGACACCAGGTCCCAGAGCAGTGACCACAGGGGTGGGGACAGATGGAGGAGGAGGAGCATCGGCAAACAGCTGGTGGGGCCGATCTGCCTGGGAGAGCGGATTCTGAGCGGCCAGGAGCCTCTCAGCAGCTGAGCCGTGCCGCTCGCCTTTGGAATCCTTCTTGAAGGCGTAGGACACAGTGATGGGCCTGTTGCAGAGGTACTGTCCGTTCATGGCCTCGATAGCAGCGTCAGAAGCATCAAAGCTGGCGAAGTTGATGAAGGCATAACCCTTGGAATTGCCCGTGTCCGGATCCCGCATGATTTTGGGTGTCTGTAAGATGACCCCGAAGGCGCTGAAGGTGTCGTACAGCAGCTTCTCGTCGATTTCGGGGTCCAGGTTGCCTATGAAGATGTTGGCCCCCACATCCAGGTTCTTGTTGTGAGCCGAGGCTTTGTTCACTCGGATCGGCTTCCCATACAATTTGATCATGTTCATGATTTTAATGGCGTAATCTGCATCCTCCTCGCTGAGGAACTCCACGAACCCATAGCCTGCAACAAGGCCCCACACAAAGCTTTAGGTCTGGGCAGAACCACGGCCTGACGCTGCCCCCCACTGCCTCCAAGGGGAACGCTGCTCCTGCAGCCTGAAGGCACCAACCCTTCTTGCTTAGAAACCGAGCCCAAGGCTCTCCCAAGACAGAAAGCCCTGCAAACCACCCACCCTCACCTCTCTTCCTGCAACAACTGCTCTCTGACCACACTCCCCCCAAACCCCCCGACTAAAGCATTCTTCTCCACGTGAGTTTTTGGGGAGCGTCGCCACTCACCCTGGTGCTGGCCTGTGACTCGATCCTTGGGCATGTGGGTGTTGACCACGGGGCCCGCCTGGAGGAAGAGCTCCCACAGCAGCGGCTCGCTGACCTTCTCGTCCAAACCCCCCACGTACACAGTCGCATCTGGAGCAGAGCAGAAAAGAGACCGAGTGAGCAGCACGCGGGAGCTGCGGGCCTGAGCCTTGAGCGCCCGATGAGGAAGTTATCGGAGGCTGCAGAGATGCCAGAGCGGAGCCCTGCCTGAAGCCGGGAGTCAATACGGCCTCCTTATGCTGTTCCAAATCCGAGGCTCCGCAACGAGACCCTGAGAGAAATCAAAGCCCCTCGGCATCCCGGCCACGGGGGAGCCGACATCCGCGAGCCTTCCAACGGACTCACAGAGAACCACAACCGCGGCCTCATCCAGGAAGGCCGCGCAGCCCCTCCACCTCCCGGTGACCCACAGAACTCCATTCCGACAACCACCCGCTCGCCCTCAGCACCTCAATCGCCCCCCACCGACTCCCCTTCCCACCGCAGCCCCGCACCGCTCACCCTGGTTCCGCTCCGAGATGGGCCCCGCCGCCATCTTGCCCCGCTCCCTCCCGCGCGGCACCGACGCAACGCGACGTAAGGGGACGTAAGGAGACGTAAGGGGACGTAAAGCGCCGCAGCCTCACGCTGTGACGTCACCACGGCCGCTAATCGGAAGTGACGTTGGCGCCGGAGGGCGGCCGCCATGTTGAGTTAATGATGGAGCGGCCTCCACCGCGCCCCTCCCCTTGTGTCGCGATATCCCCCGCAGCGCCTCGACAAACCGCGACATTCCCCGGGTGTCGGCCCCCTTCCCCCCCGGCACGCTCCTCCAATGGCAGCCACACGCCGTTGCCTGCAGAACGCTGTGCTTTAATAGGCAAATACAAACACCGCTGACACGCGGCCCAGCCTCCCCCCCTCCAGTCGCGCCGTGCGGCCGCGGCTCCCGCGTTGTGCTGAGGGGTCAGAACCGCTCCGCCCCATGGCGCTGATCCCCCCTGAGCCGCGGCAGAGGGGAACCCCAGCGCCGCTGCAGGGCCTCCAGTGAGGAATGCGGCCCCATAGAGCCGTGGGCCCCATAAAGCTCTGGGGCTCCAAAAAGCCACAGGGCTCAAAAAGCTACAGGCCCCCCAAAAGCCCCAGGCGCTAACGGACCACAGGCCCCAAAAAGCTGTGGTCCCCAAAAGGCCCCAGCCTGCCCAGAAAAACACAGGCAATAAAGAGCCGTGGACCTCAAAAAGCTGTAAGCCCCCAGATCCTCAGGTCTCAAAGAGCCGTGGTCCCCAAAAAAGCCCAGGGCCCAAAAAATGCTGCTCCCCCCAAAAATCCCAGGCTCCAAAGAGCCACGGCCCCAGCGTGGAGCAAAAGGAAGCAGCTGAGCCAGGGGGGCCGCGTCCCTCCACAACCCCCCGACTGGAGGGACCCCGAGGGATGAGTCCACCCCTGCAGTGTGTGTCCCTTCAGGGGGGGCTCCCACCCCCAGGGCCCCCTGAGACCCTCACCGTGAGGGTGCCAGGGGGCTGCTGGTGGGCTCAGCGTGGGCCCCATCCTGCTGCCATGCATGGAGCCGGTCCTGCAGCAGAGCCAGCTCCTCCAGCAGTAGGGCCGGGCACGGGGCCAGGCGGCCACGCTGTGGGGGACATGCGGGGTCAGGGTGGGGAACTGCAGGGTCAGGATGGAGACGTGGGGTTGGAGAGGCACATATGGGGTTGGGGTGGACGCACATGGGATTGGGGTGGATGGATACATGGGGTTGGGATGGTCACACATGGGGTTGGGATGGACGCACATGGGGGTGAGGTGGACACACAGGGTCGGATGGACACATATGGGGTGTGAATGGATGGTTACGTGGGGTTGGGGTGGATGCATATGGGGTTGGATGGACAAACATGGGACTGGGAGGGACACTCGTGGGGGTGAGATGAGCATGTGGGGTTGGGGTGGATGCACATGGGATTGGGGTGGATGGATACATGGGGTTGGGGTGGTCACACATGGGATTGGGGTGGATGGATACATGGGGTTGGGGTGGTCACACATGGGATTGGGGTGGATGGATACATGGGGTTGGGATGGTCACACATGGGGTTGGGATGGACGCACATGGGGTTGGATGGACAAACATGGGACTGGGAGGGACACTCATGGGGGTGAGATGGGCATGTGGGGTTGGGGTGGACGCACATGAGATTGGGGTGGATGGATACATGGGGTTGGGGTGGTCACACATGGGGTTGGATGGACAAACATGGGACTGGGAGGGACGCTCATGGGGGTGAGATGGACAGGTGGAGTTGGGGTGGATGCATGGGGTTGGGATGGATGCACACTGGGGTGGATGAATGCGGGACTGGGTTGGTCACACGTGGGGTTGGGATGGATGTACATGGGATTAGGATGGACACAAGGGGTTGAGAATCCCCCAGCCCCATTACCTGTGCCTCAGGCAGACCCCGCAGGTAGCAGCGTCGCCAGAGCCGCACGGAAGGTCCTGCAGCACAGGGCAGCAGCAGCCCCCGGGGGGCTGTGGGAATAGGGTCACCCCCCCGATCACTGAGGGTCTCCAGGGAGGGGGCCCAGCGCAGCAGGCGAGGGGGGGGACGGCCGCTCCGCCACGGGAAGGGCTGTGGGGTCAGAGAGCCCTTGGACAGAGCCAGCACCGCCCCAGAGCTCGATCCTGACCAGGCACTGGCAGGCTGGGAATCAGGAGAAAACGGGTTAGGGGCCGTGGGGGGAAACCCAGCGGCTGGGGTGCAAAGGGGTGGTAAGGAGAAATAGGGGAAAAGGGGTTAGGGGCAATGGGGGGGAAACGAGAAAATGGGGTAAAAGGGGGAAGGAAAGGGAAATGGGGAGAAAACAGCGATTGGGGTGAAAAAGGGTGGTAAGGGGGAACGGCGGCCCCCCCAACCCACTCACTGTGCCCGTGTTCTGGGGGTCCGCAGCATCGGGGGTCCCCACGGGGCCGGGGTCCCACGCCGGGTTCCGGAATCGCGCCCGCTGCTGCCGGCTGTAGCGCAGCCCCCAGGCCCAGACGGGGGGCAAACGGCTGCTGGTGCTGCTCGGGGGGGGGTCCCAGCGGCCGCTCACAGGGGTGTAGGTCTGGGTGCGAGGCTGCTGCTGCAGGGGGACAGGGGGTCAGCCCCAAAAAGGGGCTGTGCAGGGCGTGGGGAAACCGGGGTGCATATGGGGAAACTGGGACGGGAGGTGGGGAGGAATGGGGTGGGAGGGGGGAAACTGAGCTGGGGGGAAATTGAGACAGGAGAGGGGGAAACCGAGGCCCCATATGTGATTCAACTTCCCTCCCACCTCTGTTTTCCCTCTCCTGCCCCATTTCTCTCCCCTTCTCCATTCCTCCCTATCCTACCCCAGGCGTGCAATGGGGCAGGAGAGGGGAAACAGGTGGGGGGAAAATTGAGGCAGGAGAGGGGGAAACTGAGGCACAGAAAGGGAAACTGGAGGCGTAGGGATGAGGAAACTGAGGCAGGAAAGGGAAACTGAGGCACTGAGGGGGAAAGTGAGGCAGGCCACCCCGCTCACCGCCCCACCGCGGCCCTTCTGCCTCTGGCAGCTGAAGAGGAAGGTGCTGCAGTAGGGCAGGAAGGTGCTGTCGTGCAGGGCCAGCAGGTACGCCTCGGTGAAGCCAAACGCCGCCGGGAATTGCCGCAGCAGCTGCCAGGTGCAGTCCAAGAACAGCAGGAAGACGGGGGACTGCAGGGGGTTGGAGGGGGGGGTAGAACACGGGTGTCACCCCCAGGGAGGTGATGTGGGGTGGCACCCCCAGGGGGTGACGCAGGTGAGGGGTCTGGGGTCTCCACCTCCTCGCGGGCGCTGTCCCGGCGCAGACCGAGGCGCTGAGGGAAGGGGTGCCCCGCTGCCACCCACTCGCGCTGCACCAGGCTCTGGAAGCCATGCAGGCTGCGTGCATGGGGGTCCGCCAGCAGCTGCACCAGGGAGGCCAGCAGGCAGCTCAGGTCACGGTCTGAAGGCTCTGGGGGAAGGGGGACGAGCGGAGAGGAATGGGGGGGCGCCATCGTGACCCCCACCCCAATGCCAGGACCCCCCACTCTGGCGTCCCTCACCGCAGTGCCTCCCTCCTCATTGCCCCCCCCACCCTGGTGTCCCTTGTCCTGGTGTCCTCCCCACTCTAATTACCCCCCCCAGTTTGCCTCCCACCAACGTTCACCACTCCACTGTTCCCCACCCTGGTGTCCCCCCACCGCCACATCATTCCCCCACCCCAGTGTCCGTTGTCCCGGTGTCCCCCACCCCAATTCCCTTCCCACCCCAATTCCCCTCCCACTAACATCCCCCGCCCCAATGTCCCCTATCCTGGTGTCCCCCACCCCAATGGCCTCCACCCCAGTGTCCCCTCACCCCGGTGTTCCTTCCATCCCATTGTCCCCTCCCCATTGCCCCCCACCCCTACCCTGCAGGACAACAGAGCACCGTTTCCCTGCCAGCAGCGATGCCACCTCCACAGCTTTCCTCAAGCAGCCTCTGGGAACCGGGGAGGAGAAGGGGGGGGGTCAGTGCTCCCCAAAACGACCCCAGTGCCTCCTGGGGGCAACCAACCTCGCAGCCCCTGCGAGACGCTGAGCCCCATCCAACGCAGCTCCCTAAAATGCTGAGGGTGGGTTTGGGGGGGTGTCCCCCAATCAAGGCAGCGCCGCAACGCCCTGGGATTGGTTTGGTGGCCCCCAAAAGTGAGGGGGCTTTAGGGTTGCACCCCCTAAACCTCACCGGACGTGCTCCAGCCACCGCGTCCCTTCCAGCGCCGACAGCCACTTCTCATCAGCTGCTGCACCTGGTTTGGAGGGGGGGAGATGGAGTCAGGCAGTGAGAACGGACCCTGCCCCCCCCCCCCCTCCCGTGACCCCCACCCCTCTTACCAGGCAGGCACAGCGCCCGCAGCCTGAGGTGAGCCAGCTGGATGTCGGGGGGGCTGGGCAGCTCGGCGGTGTCAGCCAGCACACACGGCCTGCATCCGGCACCCAGCAGCACCTCCAGGCACCTGGGGGGGGTTTGGAACAGCACCTTGCATGGGGCCGGGCATAGTGACCCCCCCTCCCCCCCTCCAGCTCCCCCCAGGCTGGGGTTACCTGATGTCCTCGCTGCCCGGCTCTGAAGCTGCGTGGAAGCCAGCGGCTCTCAGCAGGTCGCTGCCATTTGGGTGGTGCCAGCACAGCCGCTGCGTGCAGATGGGACCCCCCCCCATGTCACCCCCCCACATCACTCCCCCCCCCCCCCCCCTATCACCCCACATCCCATTACTCACAGCCAGGCGGCGCTCCTGGAAGTGGGCGAACGTCCGCTTGAGGTCGTGGTCCAGCAGCGTGCTGGGCACCCACAGGTAGCGGGGCAGGCTGCAGGCGGGCGTGTTGGGGTCCCGCGTGGGTTGGGGGCACATCCCACCCCCCCCCGCCCCCCAGTACCTACCTGGGGGCCATATCGAAGCGCTCGTTGACGGCGCTCACCCTCCAACCCACTGCCCCCAGGCGCTGCAGCTCTCGCTCCCAATCCTGGAGGCTCTCGAAGAGCAGCGTGGGGGGGGAGCCTTCGTCCTCATCCTCATCGTCTCCCATCGTGGCATCCACGTGGCTCCCGCTGTCCCCTGGCCACGTGGCCGTGTCCCGCGCTCGGGCGATGGCGTTGGCCACCTGTGGCAAGGAGCGAGGGCTGAGTGCTGCCACCCGCCTGAGCCCTCCCCCCAAAACTGCTGTGTGCCCCCATCCTCAACCTCATCTCCCATTGTGGTATCCACGTGGCTCCTTATCCTGCTTGCACCCCAGTCCCATCCAGCCCCATCCCAGTGCGTCCCAGTCCCATCCAGCCCCATTCCAGTGCATTCCAGTCCCATCCAATCTCATCCCAGTACGTCCCAGTCTCATCCAGCCCCATCCCAGTGCACCCCAGTCCCATCCAGCCCCATCCCAGTGCATCCCAATCCCATCCAGCCCCATCCCAGTGCATCCCAGTCTCATCCAGCCCCATCCCAGTGCATCCCAGTCCCATCCAGCCCCATCCCCATGCATCCCAGTCCCATCCAGCCCCACTCCGTCTGCATCCCAGTCCCCACTCACTCTTATCCTGATCCCAACCTGGTCCCATCCCATTCCCATCCTGAACCCATCCTGGTCCAATCTCAGTCCCATCCAGGCCAAATCCCAGTGCATCCCAGCTGCATCCTGATCCCAGTCTGCCCGCACTCTGACCCAAGCTGCAGCATCCCTGCCCTTATTCCATCTCCAAACCAGCTGCATCTCGCTCCCATCCCAGCCACATCCTGATCCTATCCTGCTCCTATCTCAGCTGCATCCCAGCCCTGTCCCAATCCCATCCCAGTTGCATCCTGACCCCAGTTGGTTGCAGCCTGACACTTTCCCAGCTGCATCACTGCCTTTTTCCAGCCCCATCCCAGCCCTGTCCCTGTTCCCACCCGCCTGTGTCCTGATCCCACCCCACGACCATCCTGATCCCATCCCGGTCCATCCGGGCTCCAACCCAGTGCATCCCAGCTGCATCCCGACCCCAATCTGTCTGCATCTTGACCCCAAGCTGGCAGCATCCCTGCCTTTATTCCAGCCCCCATACAGCTGCATCCCAATCCCATCCCAATCCCATCCCAATCCCATCCCAGCTGCATCCCAGCCCCATCCTAATCCTATCCCAGCTACATCCCAATCCCATCCCAATCCCATCCCAGCTACATCCCAGCCCCATCCCAATCCCATCCTAATCCCATCCCAATCCCATCCCAGCTACATCTCAGCCCCATCCCAATCCCATCCCAGCTGCATCCCAGCCCCATCCCAATCCCATCCCAGCCCCATCCCAATCCCATCCCAATCCTATCCGAGCTACATCCCAGCCCCATCCCAATCCCATCCCAATCCCATCCCAATCCCATCCCAGCCCCATCCCAATCCCATCTCAATCCCATCCCAATGCTATCCTAATCCCATCCCAATCCCATCCCAGCCCCACATCCCACTCCCCACACTTGTGCGATGGCGTTGGCCACCTGCAGCGTGGAGCCCTGGGCCGACACCACACATGAGCCCCCAGCCCAAACGCCGTCCATCCCCTCACCCGGAACGCCTGCAGCCCCAGCCCGTTCTCTGGGAAGTGGAAGCGCAGCAGACGGAAATCCCGGCAGAAAACTGCCAGCTCCTCGGGTATGAAGGTGAGGCTGGAGGCGGCCGTCAGCACCGTGGGTTTGGTGAAGCTGCTGGCTGAGAAGGGGGGGAGGCGGTGGCCATCAAACCCCCCCGGGTCATTGCAGACGGGGTCGAGGTTTCGTCCCCCATCCTGTCCCCTACCTGCCACCAGTGTGCGGATGCAGCGCAGTGCCACGCTGTAGTCGCTCTGCAGGAAGGGGCTGAAGCTGGGGGGCTGCAGAGAGGGGGGGAATGATGGGAGGTGGCTCGGGAGCCTTAGGGGCAGCAGGGCAGGAGCAGAGCCTCGCAGCCCCATCCCTGTCCCGCGTCCCACAGCGAGGAGCTCCCAGGGTGAAAGGGGCAGTGGGGGTCATATCCAAGGAGAGGTTTGGGGAGGGCAGGAGGGGGTCAGGGTGCATGAAGGGATGGGACCACACTGGGGTCAGGATGCAGTCAGGGCCAGTCTCAGATGCAGCTGGGATGGGGATGCGATGCTGCTGGTGTAGGATCGGGACAGGATCAGGGTGGACACATCCAGATGGATCAAAATTGGGTCAGGATGCAGACAGCTTGGGGTCAAGGTGAAGGCAGGCCGGGGTCAGGAGGCAGCTGGGATGGGACTGGGACACAACTGGGATGGGGCTGGGATGGGATCGGGATACAGCTGGGTTGGGGCTAAATGAAGGCAGGGATGCAGCCAGAATCATTGGATCACAGCACGGTTTGGGTCAGAAGGGGACCTTTGAGAGCATCTCATCCCTCCACTGCCAGCAGGGACACCTCCAGCACACCGGGCTGCTCAAAGCCCCATCCCACCCGACCCCATGGATGGGGAACCCTCAGCCCCTCTGCGCAGCCTGTTCCACCATCTCCCCATCCTCACAGTTAAGAATTTCTTCCTACTATCTCCTCTGGATCTCCCCTCCTCCAGTTTAAAGCTATTTCCCCTCACCCAGTCGCAACATGCCCTTATCAAAAGTTCCTCGCCAGCTTTCCTGTCAGCCCCCACCAGGTCAAAAGATTACGGGTAGTTTAGGGTCAGGACGGGGATGGGATGTGGATGGATTGGTTCTGGGTGGGGTGGGATGAGAACATGGGTGGATGGGGACTGGGATGCAGCTGGGACAGGGTCAGGGTGCAGGCGGCTGGGCCAGGGTGTATGCAGATGGCTGGGCTAGGAATGCAGCCAGGATAGAGAGCATGGATGGGGTTGGGGTGGCATTAGGACACAAGTGGATGGGGACAGGAAAGTAGCTGGGACAGGGCTGGGGTGCAGGTAGGAGAGGGTCAGTTGCAGCCGCTGGGAGTCAGGGTGTGGGCATCTTGGGGTCAGGATGCAGCTGGGATGGGACCAGGATGGGACACGGTCGGATGGGGACAGAGATGCAGATGGGATGAGGACACGGGCGGGTCGGGACGGGGATGCCGCTGGGTCCCGGTCAGGGCGCAGCCCTGAGGCTCAGCGGGCAGCGTGGGGTGAGGACGCAGCGGGTTTGGGACCGCGACGGGCCGCAGTTGGGACGGGGGAAAGGGGGAGGGGAGGAGGGGGTCGCGGCGCTGCGATGTCCCCACCTGCGCTCCGGGCACGAACGCCACGCGGACGTTGGTGCAGAGCAGCGTGCCCCGCACCGAGCCGCCCGCCCCGCGGTGCCGCACTCCCCGCGCCGCCTCCAGGACCACCTCCCCTACGGGACGGGACGGGATGGCACGGGACCCCCCAGCAGGGCCGGGTCGGTGCTCCCCATAGCGGACCACCCCCCCCACTCCCTACCTGGCAGCACGGGGAGGGCCGAGAGGCCGCCGCGCGTCGCGCTCATGGCGGAGGACTTTGCCCGCAGAGCCCCGCCCGGACCCCCCCGCGGCCCGCGGAGCTCCGCACGGCACTGCCCGGGGGGGGGCGGGGCGGGGGGTGGGGCGGCTGCGGAGCCTTTGTGGGGTCCGGGGGCCCGGGGGGGGTCCGGCTGCCCCCGGCCCATCAAAGGTGCGCGGTGCTGGATGTGGTGCCGAGTCCCATAGGGATGTTATGGGGGGGGGGGAACCCCATGAGCCCTGTGTGGGATGGGTGGTGCTGGGGGCGTGCAGTTCCCCCCACAGCAGCCCACCGGGTTATAAGGCACTGGATGGGGTGGACTGCAGGTTGCTGAACCCCATAAGGTTGTATAGGGTTGGGGGGGGAGGGGGAGGCGAGGGGGTGCAGCTCCTCCCTCCCCATGATGTTGTGTGGTGCTGGAGGTGGCAGCTCCCTGAGTCTTACATGTGGTGGGGGGTCTGCATCTCCCACCCCACAAGGTTCTGGAGGACAAGTAGATCCCCACACCCTATAAGGGTTTATGGGTCTGATGGAGGTGTGCAGCTCCTGGCACCCCAATGCGGTGGCACAGTGCATCTCCCTGCGCCCCACGAGGGATGCGTGGCGCTGGAGAAGGGGCCTGCAGGCCCCAAACCCCATAAGCTTGTGTGCTGCTGGATGGGGGGCTGCAACTCCCTGAACCCCATAAGGGTTGCATGGTACAGGAAGGGTGGGGAGGGGCTGCAGCTCCCTGAGTTCTGTGGAAAGATGGGGAAAAGGCCGAGGGGGTGCAGTTCCCTCCACTCTGGAATTTTTTAAGGTGCTGAATGGTCACACAGCTCTGTGAGTCCTGTGTAGGGTTGGGGGGGCTGGAAGGGGTTGCATCTCCCCCCACTCCATAAGGTTGTATGGTGCTGGTTGGCGGGGGGGTCCTGCAGCTGGCACCCCAATAGGTTGCTGTGGTGCTGGGGGAGGACAAATCTCTCTCTGAATCCCATAAGGGATGTGTGGTGCTGGAGGGGGGTGATGCATCTCCTCACCACCCCATAAGGGAGACACAGAGTTGGACAGGGGGTCTACAGGACCCTGAAGCCCATAAGGGATGCGTGGTGCTGGGGGGGGGTTGCACAGCTCCCAGCACCCCAATAGGTCAGCATGGTGCTGGAGGGGGACATGAATCTTCCTGACTCCTATAATGGAAGCACTGCTGCACTGCGGACGTGCAGCTCCTGCATCCCACAAGGGATGGATGCTGCTGTACCCCACACCTCTCCCCAGCCGGCCCCACACAGCCCCCAGCCCCTCTTGCCCCCCCATGACTCACCAGACACCCTCCCCCGCCCCCCCCCCCCCGACTTCTTTTGGCCCACAGCCTTTTCAAGACTCCCACAATGTGCATCTCAGGCCATCCCCAATACTGCACCTGTAGGAATACGGCACCCGGGGCCCGGCTGGGGCTGGGGCTGCAGTGCTGCGCAGACGGGAGGAATTTCCTGCAGGCCCTCAGCCAGGGCCAGATGCCAAAGCTGGGGTCAGCCCAGGATACCGACGTGGTGCAGCACAGGGGAGCGGCTCCCAGGTCAGGTTCTGCGGGGGCTTTTGGGATCTGACCCCAAACAGGTTCACCCCACAGAGCCGTGGGGCTGCAGCCGCCCCTTTCTCCTCCTGCCTCCGTTTCAGTGTTTTATGGGGCTGGGTTGTGTCTGTGCTGCGCTCCGAGCATCCATCCAGCAGTGCCTGGGGAAAAGGCTCCCCTAAAAGGCCGAGATGGAGAGAAACGGCAGTGAATTCTCTTTGAGAGCGGCCTTTGGTACCCAGCAGAGGGAAATCTCAAATGAATGGGAGGAAAATCGGCTCAGACCCACAAGCCCAGAGCTGGGGAGGCTCAGCCCACGGCGCAGGAATGAGGCGGGCGTGAGGAAGAGCGTTTATTGTCAGTGAGGCCATGGAAGCAGAAGGAGTGGGTACAGCCCGATACAACGCGCCATCCAGTGCTGGTACAGCTTGTTTTGGGGGGGGGGTGAGGGGAGGGGGAGGGGGGAAGGTCACCAACCCCATAATTGCAATAGGAATTGAAAAAGAAAAGGGTTTTGTCCAGATCTGCGGAGTTCATTCAGGTCACCTCTTGTGCCGCAGCCTCCCACCCAGCCACGGACGCGTGGGGCCGAACTGGGGCTCAGCCTGCAGGCGGGACAAAGCGGGGGGCAGCCGGCACTCCTCCCACCACCCCAAGAAGGGCACTTGAAGCCCTGGGCATCGCGGCGGCCGCCCCGTCCCCATCCCAGGAAGCAGCTTGGTGCTTTCCCCCAGGAGAGGCGCGTTGGAGATGGGCTGCTCGCCCTTCAGCCCCGCTCATAAAGACGGGCGCCTGAGCTGGGCTGCAGCGCCGGCCCTGGGAAGGAAGTGGTGGATGGTGAAGATCTTTGCAGTAAATAGGATTTGTATTGAGGGATCCCTTTGAAACAAAACGAAATTGCTGTTCCACCATAAAGGAAACAAAAAGGACCTGAAAAAATCCCGAAGAAATGCGGCCATGGCCCTCGGGTGGAGCTGTGAGGGCCGGCGATGCTTAGGGCCCCCGCTTTGTAGAAAAAAATACCCTTCCACTCACTTCATCGGAAACCTCATTTTGCCTAAAGCTTTGTTTGTTTGTTTGCTTTTCCTCCCCAATTTTGTGTGTAAAAAAGCTACAAACCCCACCACCCACAGCACGGAGGGCAGAGCAGGCAGGGAAGCTGCTGCCCCACGCGCTGCTGCGCCTGCAAAAACCCCACAATGGGAAACTGCACCCACGGCCCAGCAGGGGGGTCGCAGCCCTCAGAGCCCCTTTCTCCTCTCCCCCAGGAACGCTGCGGGGACGCAGCTCTCCTCCAAAAGCCCTTTTCTCCCCCAAAACCCTCAGGAGGAGAAGCAGCGGCAGCAGCTCCCCGTGGGGTAGGAGATGGTTTTCTGTTGGGAGCCGCACCAGCACCTCCCGCAGCCATGGGGTCGGTTTGTTTCCTCCATAAGCCGACGTGGCTGCACGCGTCCATCCAACCGCTGCTCTCCTACGCTTCTCCCCTCACAGCACTTTGCTATCAGCAAACACGGAGCGGCGCCGAACCCAGAGCTCGGGAGGCTCTGAAATGGAGACGTTTCCCCCCAAACCGTGGCCACGGGGCAGCAGCGGGATCTGCCTTCCCCCCTGTCCTGCACTGCCCACGGTTGGGGCAGGGAGCGCAGAGCTTCACGCTGCAATGAGAGCCCAGCAGCCCCCTGCACTGACCTGTGCCGTTCCCAGGGGCCGGGAGCTGAGCCCCCTGCATGAGACCCCGCTGTTACCTCCCACGGCTCACGGCCGCCCTGCACTCAGATCAGCAGCGGTAGGAAAAGCAAAACCAACTTCAGTGAGTGAAACCGGTGAAAGAACTCTGCTATTTACAGCCAGCTGAGCCCGGGGCGCCCTGCAGCACAGCAGCACGGTGCAGCCGGCCGCCTCCAGGGGGAAAGGCCCTAAATTCTGTGGGGTTTCAGACATGAAACGGGCAGAATCTGCTGTCAGAACCGAGAGCTGTAAGGCTGTGGGCGATGCTCCAGGTAAGCACACTTGCCCGGTTCTCCCCGCAGCAGCACGGGGAGGGATTGCATAGTTGGGTGCCTTCTGAGAAACAACAAGGGAATGTTGTAAAGCTTTTGAGTTATCGGCAGAACTCATCTTTTATTTCCACGTGGTAAAATGCTGAACCTCGCTCTATACAGGACTGGGCCGAGGATGGAGCCCGGCTTGGGATCCCTAATTACAAAAACAACAAAAAAAATATATCTGTGCAAACATCGCAGTGCTGAATCACAGCCCCCCCTGCGAGACGCGAACGCCGGCGACCGCAGGGCCGAGCGGGGAGCGCCGCGGCCGCGTGGCTGTGAGTGACGCAGTTACGGGTTCGCCTTCCTTACGCCTCGCTCTTTAGCCCTGTTATCAAAAATATCTTTCGTATTACTCAGCCTAAAGGTCAGTTACGTGGCTCAGCAAAATGGAGCCGAGTTAATTCTATTCAGCAGAACAGAGGTAGTATGGAAGTAGCTTGCTCAAGTAGAAAGTTATCGCGCGTATCCACGTGGGGCTGGAAGCTAAGGGCGGCGTTCCCTCCCGTGCTGCAGGGCTCTGTCCTCTCTCCTGCTCCACGCCGGAGGTTTTGTGGCGGGGGCACCGACCTTCTGTCATCTCTGTGCCGCCAACACAACGGCTCTGCTGCAGGAAAACTCAACACGGCTCAGCGCTGACACCACCCTCGGTCCCCCTCCCGCCCTCCTGAAGAGCTTAAAAACAGTATTTAAAAACCAGAGCCGAGCCCGCGGGGGGGGGGGGGGGGGGGGGAGGGCAAAGCCCCCGTGGTGCTGAAGGCGCTGAGACATCCGACGGGCTCGGTCCCACCGAAACAAAACGACAACATCCCGTTCCAACTACGTTTCTCTCGGTACCAGGAAAAGAAATAATAATAAAGTGTTAAAAACAAAAATAAAAATCTCTCCGTTGAAAGGTCTGCGACTCCCTTACTGGGATCGTGGGGCGTTCCGCTCCGTTCTGGGAAGCACTATTGGAGCGGGGCGGCGTCGGGGTCCAGCTGAAAGCTTTGGTCTGGGATACGGATCGCCGGACCCCCCTTCCGCCCCCAGCTCCCACCTGAGCTCGCCCCTGCGCCGACCCCATCCAGGCAGGATGAGCCCCTCTGCCCGAGTCTCTGCAGGGAGGCACCGCTCCTCCCAGCCCCTCGCCCGGATCTCCTCCGCAGCGCAGAGCTGAACGCCGCTGTCAGCCCACTCCCTCCTTCCAGCCAGCGAGAGGAGCAGTGCGGGGACAAACCACACATTATTGCATTCCTCGCGTGCTGCAGGTCCGGCCCTGGCAGCGCTCAGAACCTGTGCACCAGCGCCTCGCGCTCTTTACGTTTCAGCTCCTCTTTGTAACAGCAGGAGCAGAAATTCCCGGTTTCTGGGTGCCCGTAAAAGCTGCAGTTTGGCTGCTTGCATTTGGTCTGCTGAACGCCATAAAGAACCCTGCCTCTCGTCTTGTCCACGGGT